AGAACACAATGTCTCTTAGTTCTCTGTAAACAGGCTCGTCATACATCAGTTTAAAAAGAATAGTGTCCTCATTTGCATAATAAATACCTCAGTCGAGGTATTTTTATTCACCTCCACTTAGAAGAACAAAGCTTCAGTCACCTTAAGAAGCCCATCCATTTTGGTTCATCTTTTTTAACAGTTTCAAAAGTGTCAGGATGTGTGTGGTGAGCCTGGAATGCTGAGCCCAAACGAATGTCTCTTCCCGGGTGAACATCTCACAGGCATCCCACAGGGTCTGTTGCATGACACTTGGCAGGGTCTCAGCACAGGTAGCTACAGCACCAGCACTAGTAGCTACCAAGGCAGTTCAGGTGGGGAGGTGAGTACATATGGGTATCACAGGATCAGAATGCTTTGGGTTGGAAGGGAACTCTAAAGGTCATCTAGTCCAATCCCCCTGCAGTAAGCAGGGACATCTTTAACTAGATCTGGTTGCTCAGAGCCCCACGTCAGCAAGGTGCTTGTTTTTGAGACATTGATTACGTAGAAGTATAAAACACATTATTTTCAAGAAGACCATTCTCAATATATTAAATGTAGGGAGTAATATCTGATGTTTTATTGTTTGAGTTCTGAGGATGGAGTCTATTTACCATTTCTTCCTTGTTTTTTTAATTTGTCCAAGTGCTACCCATCTTACTATTTATCCTATGTTGGGTATGTTTAGCTAATGCCTGTACTAGAAGCAGGTGGCCATTAACCTAAAGCAGAGCCTTGTTTGAAGAAAAGGTGAGAGTATTGGCTCTTTGCTTCCTTTTGAATGTTAATAGATGTAGGATGCATAATCGGGTTTATAAGAGTTACTATTTCTGAGTGTTTTACCCATGGTTTAGGTGAAGCATAGAGAAACATTGTGTTAGTTTACCTATTGTATGTGCCTCTTCATTAGGTGTTTCTGCACCACTCACACATTCTTTGGAATTTAACTTCATGCACAGGATAGAAACCATAGAACTCAGAGAAAATGCTTCCAAAGTAGCTTGCTTCACAAATTAAAGTATTTACAAGCAAAATCCTAAAACTAGGAAGTTTAAGGTTTATGTTCATATTTTGTAAACTGTTGCCAGCGGAAACACAAGAAGCTTCAGATAATATTTAGACATTCAGGTCCTTAAGCTACAGCACCAGCTGAGTTCATTTGGATCAGGATCTTGCTGTTGATGTAGCTGCTGTTGTAGGTGTTTGGTATGTTTTAGAATCCTCCCTCCCCATCCTTTCTCATCAGAAAACAGGATGTACTGCAGCATCCCATCTGTATCCCAGCAAGATAAAGCTGCCAAGGCTGGTTGCTCTGCCAGTCTCAGCTGCATACCCGGGCTCCCAGCTTCAGCACTGGGTGTTCACTCCTTCCTAGAACTAGGTAGCTACTGCCCTGTAGATAGCGTTGAGTCAGTATTAGGCTAAGAATGATAAATATATTTATAGTCTACTTTGAAAAAATACATATAAGGTAAGAATTAAATGTTTGTGTTCTCCACAAAACAAGGAACAACTGTCAGGTGTTTGCTTTACTGGATGCAGTTTTTACTTGATGGCTTTTTGCACTCTTTTGTCCCAAGCTCTTTTAGGTCTTTTTTACTCCAGCTTTGTTCATTTCCACAGTCTGGGCCAGAATGTTACTTCAGAACGGATTCTGACACTGCTGCCTCTTCTACAGAGTCAGTAATTATTATTCCTCAGTACTGATTCACTACAAACAATATTTTAATGATTCTGAAATGTTTTATCTTTAAGCAATCAAAAATGTTATTATTAAGCTTACATAGACAGGCATACCTGCAGGGACATGCTCATGCGTGCACACAGACTTTCCCCCTTCCCATAGGACCTAATTTCTCATGGAGGTGACAATGCAGTTGCTCTGCTGGTATCTCTGTGTCTACTGACATGTAAGCATGTTGCTACCTAAATTTGAAGTGAGATGGTGGTGTGAATAGATGAGAAGTGAAGTTTTGTGAAATGAGTGAATGAAGCCAGTGTCTTAGTGGCAAGAGAGAGAGAGGTTTTAATTCTTCCCTTCTGTCTCAAACCTCGTGCTTACTCCTGAGCTGGGCCCAAGGACTTGCCTTACCCTTTATTTCTCTGAATTAGAAGAAAAGTAACCCGGCAAAGAAGAAAGTGAATTGTTTTCTGTCAATTTGTCAAGCTGGAAGAGCTCACTGAAGTTTAAGGTGGGCGCCCATGCTTGACCAAGGGAGCAGATGGGACTATGAGGCAGGAAATCACAAGGGGCAGTTGAATCCTGTCTCTTGACAGAAGCTGTTATATGTGCTTTGTTTTTTTATACAACCTAAGTTCTTGAACATTTCAGAAAGAGGACAGGAAACCAGATTATGAGAGAGATATGACTATGGCTCCAAAAAGGAAAAGGTTGGAAATTATGCTTGCTTTAGAACCAAAGAGTTCAAATATGAAACCCAGTCTTTCTAGACATCATTGACTTTGATGCTTATTTTGACTATTTGCTTTTAATTGTATCCAAAATTTTTAAAACTTCAAAATAAGTAATAACACTTTCAAATTTCTGAAACAATGTTTTGATTTAATGTTGTTTGACTTGAATTTGGCATAGCTTTGGTCTTCCTGATGTTGCCTTCTGTAGAAAGTTAACTGTTAACCAGGATATGTGCTATGCTTTAGTTTTTACTTTTTTTCCCAGTTTTAAAGATCAGCTATTGAGATCTGCATTTATCTTTCAGTTTGCATATATTCTCTCAGAAGAATTCTAAAGCATTCTTCCTATTGGAGTAGTAGTAATAGCAGGAATTAAAAGGAAACTTAATTCTCTATATCCCCTTCTAAATATTTTGTGTCGTTCTGTCTGCCACCACCTTTATAGTCATGCCTTCTGGCTTGGTGTTTGCCATCTTCTAGTGTTTTGCTTTGATAGAACAGCCTAGGATTATCTCAGACACCATGCTGATTTCCATTACAGAATATTCTGTAGGGGTATTGACTGATTGCTTACTGTCAGCTCAGGCCCTCACAGAGAGACTGTCACATTTCTTGAGCATTGGCACATGTTAGTCTTGTACCACATCCCTCAGACCTAAGCCTAGTGCAGTGTGGAAAAGTGTAAGAAAGATCTAGGCACCAAGTGTCAATGTGTCTGGGATATCAGGCTGAAACATGAACATACAGCACTACATGCTTTTCTTAAGGGCCATGGTAGCTTGTTGATGGTGCTGTACAAAGCACACTGTCAGGATTTTTCAGGAAGAGCTGCAGTGACTGTGTCTAAATTCATAAAGGCTGTTGAATTAGTAAGACTTGGTATTAACCCTCACCAGTGCTTATCAGGTGGTTTTGAAGTTGATGTGGGCCACTTGGTTTCATGCTGTTAGGACTCTAGAGCTTGCAGACGTTTAAGTGAAGGGATTATAGTGCTGTTAGGCTGGCAAAATTTATACATGGATCAGTTCATAAATGCAGGTCCTGAAATATGGATTGTAGTGGGTAGGAGTAGATAGATGCCTAAGGGGTTTGTAGTAGCTCTATATACAACTGAGAGAGACTTTTTCTGGTGACACAGTGATGAACAAGGCTGTATACAGGGGCCATGTTGAAGATCAGCACATCAAAGGGTATTTTGACTTCCAGAGTGGCTGGTTTTATAACTCGGTTGGGAATGTGTGCTACCTGTTGTAGTGCCGTCACATAAAATCTTATCCAGAATGGGATCTCATACTTAACATCCACTAGTTGCTGACAAAATAAAATTCACAGCTGCACAGCATTCAAGTGTTTGCAGAACTTTTTAACGGTATTTTGAGATTTTTTAAAAAAATCTGTTTAACACTATTCAGAAGAGAGGTAGAGATTCCTTTTTTTTCCTACAAAACAGATTCTCTCCTTCCATCCCCACCTCTCTTCTGAATTTCATTATCATTCCCACTTCTGGGCTGTATGCACACTTTTGATAGGTTTTGTTCACCTGCTGCAGCCAGAGAGAAGCCTATCTTGACTCTGTCTAAAGGATGATAGGACCAGTCAAAAGAAGGCTATCAGAAAGAATGTAACTGTGTGAAATGGAAAGTAATTTTGAGGCCAAGCAAACATAACGCTGTGTGTAGATGAACATGAGTGGTCTGTGACAGTTGACCAGTCACCAGCCTACTGGTTGAGAGTGTCAGTTTGCAGCCGTGTGCCCTGCAATGGTCAGTGAGATCAAACTAGGTTGTTTACTTTGTAAATCTCCAGAGGATTTGGAATATCTTTTAGGAACATGTCCACAGATAAATGTTTGCCCCCTGGTAACTTGCAAAATTAGTTTTCAAGGAAACAGAAATACAGCTGAGTCTTTCATGTGAGAAGCAATGCTAAAATCATGCTGGAATAATACATATCTTTGTTTTTCCTTACAAAAAACGTCCTTATATTATTTAGAAGCTGAACAGTTAGAGGAAAAAGTTGTTACTGTAGATCTGGAGATTGCTGTGCTTGAATTGATGCAGTCCATATAAAAGACTTTTAAATGAAAGCATACTCCAGCATACTTACCATGTATGATGAGTTTTCCTTCTGTGGTGACTTTGGGTCACCCACAGTGACAGTGTGAAAACACTTGACTGTAATAAGAATTAGTGACTTGGTACAGGATGGAGAGTTTAATACGGTTAACTTCCATTTATATACTGCCAAGACACTTCATAGGGAAGGTAAAAATGACTTTTGCTTTTCTCCATACCAGAAAAAGATACATGGTTTTAAGTAGTTTCCTAGCTGTTGTATGTTGTTTGCTGTACAGTTTGCATGTGGGCAGGTCTATAGATGGCCATGAATTCTACTGAAAATAGTTAGTTATTGCAAACATACAGACTAGAAATTATCTGTGGGCTGTTAATGTCCAATGGCTCTAGATTAAAAATAATTATAATAACAGCTCTCGATATTTCCTGATTCCAGAAGATGCTGATACTTATTTTCATATTTTGTTTTGTTCTTTAGTGAGGTAGAAGATGAATTCAGCTGAAATCACTGATGATGATGAAGGTAAAACATTGTACTTTGCGTTGAATTAAAGCCTTTGTAACCTGATAAAGAATGCATTTTAATCAAGACAAATTACATTAATGTTTTTTAAAATGCTATCTAAAATGCATCATTATCTTTGTTACTCATTATATTTTCTACTCTACATACTTCCTCCCCCCTCCAAAAAAAATCCTCTGACTGTAACTCTTTTTGTTTATAGTTTAGACTCTTCTCTGGGGAAGAAACTGTCCATTACTGGTATTGACTGAAGAGTTCCTAGCATAATAAAAACTTGACTTTGGGGTGGCCTCAGCATACACTTACTATACAACTCATAAAAAATAATTGTGTTCTTCAAAATTCATTTTCATAAAAATAATCAAACCAGAAAAGGTTGTATTAAGGGTGTCATGGTTTTCTGGAGAGAGTGCTTTATCTTTCTAAACTTTATCTTTTTCCAGTAAAAATTCCTACAAAAAACGTTGTGAAAGTAGAAACAGAAAATGAAGATGAAGCTCTAGACTGCTCAGTAACATCCAGATCTGCTGAGAAACACTCACTGGATGGCACAGTTACTTGCCTACAGGATTCCAGCAAACGGAAACAGCCCTCACTTGGTTGTGATGGTTCAGGGAGCCAGCAAGATGTCTTACCCAGTGTGAAGAAAAGGCGCTTTACACATGAGGTGACTTCTCTATACATGACTGTGTGATTTTTGTGTTCATGTTTCATAGGCTAAGGTCATTGCTCCTATAAGCAATATGCAAGTCATTTAACTAGATTTGCATTAGTAACAAGTTTGAGGCAAATATGACTAATCTTAACCCATTACTGTCTGGATATTTCTTTAAATAATATGGGAGCAATCGTATCTATGAAATAAGTTATAAGTTAATTCATTCATGTGAAGTATTTTTTTGTTGTTTGTCAGAGGACATAGGGGCAGGTTGTGATTTGGATCAACAGAGCATGGCTGATTACAGTCCCTCTTGTGTCACACAGTTCTTCAGCTGGATCCTCAGTGAATCAGGGCTGCAATTCTTCCTTCTGTGACACAGATTCTGATGCCAGTGAGACAAGTATAAATTTATGTATTATTTGAAAGATAAAAATGCAGGGGTGCAGAAGACTTCAGCATATCAAAAGCAGAATGTATCACAGCTTCTGGTGCAGCAGTTCTACTTCTGATAGTCCAGATGCTTTTCCAGCAAGTGAAGGAGAAGCCCAGTCTTTTCCATTACCCTGTTCTGGTGTTTCACCTCTATAGCAATTGGAGATTTTCACCGATCTTTGCTGAAACGGGGGAAGCTTCTTTTTGTCCTTATTCTTTTCAGTAGGGGGAGCAGTGATCTGTTCCTAGAAAAGTCTTCTGCACACGTGAAAGTTGGTGTGATGTTGTCCACCCTCAGCCCTTCCTTTCCAAGACTAAAATTCTGTTTTTTTCAGCTCTTCTTCAGGAGTCAATGTTATATTTTTGTTGTTCTCTTTGAGATTCCTGAAAGGCTAGTGTCTGCTGTTGGGTAGTCACATCTCTTCTAACACTCCCTAGAACAGGATAATGACCTCCTGTTTTTCCACACTCAGCACTTTATTAAAATAACCTAGATTCAAATTCATGCTCTTTTGAATAACTTCAGGCCCTGGGTTATATTTAGTTTATGACCTACTCCAATGCACATATCCTTTTCTGCTGTTCTGCTACCTAGCCAGTTATTCCATGTTGCATTTGTGCATTTCATTTCTCCTTTCTAGCCACAGCTCTTCCTATTTCTTTTTCTTGACTGTCATCTCTCTGACTTCTCTGGGTTGTTTTTTTCCCTGAATGCCTGTGGTAGGTAAATTTTAATCTTATTACACAGTTTCTTTCTTCTCCTTTTTCTTTTTCCATTTTTTTTACTTACATTCAGATTCTTAAAAGAGCTTCATAATGGTCCCTGAACTGTGCTTGCTTTGGATTTTACTGTTTGTTGTTTGCCTTTAATAAATTTTTACATTTGATTAGACATTAATTAACTTTGGACTTATAATATCAGAAAGTGACCCAGTAACAATGATGAAAATCTGTTCTTGGCTGACCCCAATGAATCAGCATGTTTAGTTAAATAACCAACCAGAAATAGTCCTCAATCCTAACAATTTTTTTTTGAAGTTAATTATTTTCCTAGTACCGATATTTTGGTTTAGTTGATGACTTCATTAACTATATCTGTTTAAACAAAGGACAAAATCTTAATTATTTATGAGAATATTGTGCCTGTAGTATATTCTTAGTACACATCACATAGGCATCTATTCATGGTATAAGCAGAGCTTATATCTATCATGACTTTTAATGTTATATAACTCTACCATTGGGCTAGTGATTATATTTATAAATTTCTTTCTATCAGAAGACATTTCACTTTTTAAAAATTCTGATTGTCACTTAATAACCAGAAATTAATTTTCTCAAATTTTCTAAAATAAATAAATGTGGACGATTGTAGACTGATATAATCTTTTTATATGTTCCTTGCTCATATATTTATTAGTTACTCATATGCTAGAATACTACACTCTGTATTCTTACAGATATTTAGATTTTGTTTATTGAGCATAATAAAGGTCATAGATTAGCTGGACTTCAGCACTGAACAGAGCAATAACTAAAACTTGGCTTAGAACTCCGAGAGATAATGAGAGACTATTTCACAATTACTTCTATTGGTTGATGTTTACCAAAATACGGCGTTTTGCAAATGTTCAAAGAATGTGCATAATATAAAAGCTTACTGTGCAAACATCATATAAAAAGAAGCATTATCTTATGTACATTGGGTCTCATAGAACAATATCTTTGCTTATTTTTTCATGGTACATTAAAACTGACCATCTTAAATGGGTGTAGTATTATCTGAAATACATTCTTGTTTAAAGATCAGTGTTACAGAAAACTAATTTTAAAATATTAAATAGTAGTTTAATCGGAGAATTTATGAAAAGCCATGTATTTATGCTGTGGATCGTGCTGTTTCCAGATGGAAACTCTATAAAGACAAGATAATTAAAAGCAAAAGGAAAGAAAATGAGAATGCATCTGAAATGGAAAACCATTAAATACAGGCTCAGATGTGTTGTCATCTGTTAGCTGAACACTGACGATGCGTTTCTGAAACACAGACAACCAAATACATCCCACAGCCAGATGCAAGCACTGTGAGCTGCATCAGTGAGCAGGCAGAAGTTCTGCTGCCATCGCAGCAGAGATCTGCTGTAGTTCTTCGTGTGAACAGTTCTCTTCCTCCAGAGCACCACATCCAAATCTGAGAATGCAAACTTCCCAGTACTCCCTGTCTAGGACAATTTGTGCTGTTTAATGCACATTCTAGTATTGCTTTGCCTGGGCTCTGTGTGTGAGGTGTGCATTAATGGAAGTTACCCCCACTCTGCCAAGTTGTATTATATAATTAATTCGGGGAAAGGTATGATGGAAGTTCTGAGAAGAACGGGCAGCTAACTGGTGGCCCACAGCAACCTATTTAGTAGAGAGGGAACTGAATAAATTACACCTTGAATGTGAAGAAATATTTGGAAATATGTTCTGTAAAATGCAGCGTTAATGCTGTTCACAGCTAGTTCAGTAGCAGTTATCTCTGTACATGTAAGAAATGTATTCCCCAGAATGGCAGTTTTGTTTTGTTCTTTTGATCTAAAATGGTGGAAAAAATTTGTAATTGAGTCTCGGTGTCTGACTGGGGAGCAGAACTATGCTTACTGTCAGTAGAGGTCTTCATGACCTGCTTTCAGGTGATGTCTGTTTGCAAGAGCCGTCATGCCATCTGGAAATGCCTCTGTTTCCCCACGGACAAGTATAGGTGGTGTGTGACAACTCCAGTCCCAGTGTGGGAGCCTGCAGTTAGATGGCAGCAACACAGATCTCAGTTTGCTCACAGTTTGGTCTCTTGGGTTCTGCTATTTTGCAAGTCCCAAAGAGCTGATTTAGTTAGGGTGTAGCGTACCACTTGCTGGGATAAAAGTCACCCTTTTAGTAGCTGATGGTGTTACAGGACTTTGGTTCCTCGCTGTCCTCATAGCAGGTGTGCTTTAGAATGAGTGGCACTGGGGGTCAATCTTCTAAATGGGACCTGGAAGTCAGGTGTCCTAGGCACCACCATGGGCAGGGATTCTGCACACCGTGGAACGCATTGCCTTTGTGTTATGCTTTCACTGTGTCATCTGTCCAGCCACACAGCTCTGGAAGTGGAAACACAAGGTGTCACGTGTAGGGTTGTATGATGTGAATGAGAGCAGAATTTGGAAACACAACTTCAGTTTAATTGAGTCTGCTGGCTTCTAAGCTTGGAGTGGAAGTCAGCTTGTTCTTCCTGATCCTCTTTTGAGTGTACATTGCATTAGAAATTAAAAAGTAATTCGATTCAATTTGTCACTGTGGTAAGCAGATGCCAAGTGTGAGTACATGGAGGGACCAAATTAATTTCACAAGTGTTATGGTTCTGTTTTTTCAGAAAGGAACTTGAATTAAAGGACTGCAGTGGGGTCTTCATTAGAATTTCAGACTGCTTGTGGCTCTCAGCTCAGACTTCAAATCTGTGTTACATTTGTTCTAATACTTGAATGCAATTTCTGTGGCTTTTTATTCATGTTCTGTGGAACAAGCCAGGTAAAATGTTCCTGTACAGTCTTCTCTAAAATCTGTGGTTCCTCATGTTTTAATTCTTTATGTCGACTTCGGAACTCTTGTATCTGTTTAACTTCCTAAGAATTATTTGCCATATCCATGTTTGAGGAAAAAGCAAAAACAAAACCAAAACAACCGACCCGTCCAAGCCCTGCATGTTTGCTGAGAGTTGATGAAAGTGCTTGCTTCCAGTTTTAAGCAATGGGAAAGAGATAGAAATTATTCAGAACATTAATACCTTAAGAGCTCATTAGTGGGTTTTATATAAATAGTTCAGAAAATTAGAAACCCATGAGTCCAAACTTATTCACTTTCAGAAAAAAAAAATCTTATGCTTCTTTTTTTAAAGGACAATACCAAGGTACTTTTCACTTTGCTTTTAAGTTTTGTTTTTTTGAATAGAATAATTCATTAAAATTACAGTCACTTCTAGAACTCATTTAGGAGTTGTACACCATTATAAAGATTAAAAAAAAAAAAAACAACTAGATAAACCTTTAAAATAAGAAAAAAGAGAATAAGTATGATTTTGGTGTCTTATAACCTTTGTGGTATTTTGGAAAGCTAGCCTAAAAGAGTACTGGAACATTAAATGCAGTTCTTGGAGGCAGTGGCAAGGTCACGGGACTAGGAGTCAGAAAATCTAGATTCTATTCTTGGCTCTGTTGCTGACTTGTTGCCACCCAAATTCTCTACAGCCCAAGAGCCTCATGCAAGGTGAAGCATAATGATACTTAATGTGGGAGAGTATTTAGAGCTCTGTGGATGAAGAGTGCTAAGGATTATTATTGCATTTCTATTCCATGGAGAAGGCCATGAGCAAAAAAAAATAAAAGGGCAACCCCCCCCAAATAATTCTTTACTGTATTTTTACTTTTACTAGTGAATTTATTAACTTTGATATCTTTAATACAACTAAGTCTTCTGTAGAAAATGTGACTTTGAGTATTTATGTAGCAATGCTTGCTTAAGGGGCACATCTTTATAGCTACTGTTTTTTAAGGCCATCTTACTAATACAATATTTATTCATTCAAAGGGCCCCCTTTCAAACATGAAGAACAGAGATACTGGCTCACCCACTCAGGTAAACGCAGAGCAGCCAAACAAGAACAAGAACCCTAACGTAGCGTGGCTCTGTGAAGAGGAATCCTTCAGTGACATAACCACTCCATCTTACAAGAAACCTCTCTATGGCATCTCACACAAAATCACGGAGAAGAAGAACCCAGCAGGAGCAGAGCAGTTTGCTTCTTATGAGTTGTTTGAGAAGATCAACCCGAGCAGTCCCTCGCATCTGCGGACGTTGAACGACCAGCGCAAGAGGGACTCGGCTGCAGCCATTGCTGTAACGGCGGCCGCCGCCGACTCCGACCCAAACCTATATTCTCTCATACAGAAAATGTTTTACACGCTTAACACCCTCAACACCAATATGACTCAGCTTCACAGCAAAGTTGACCTGTTGTCTCTGGAGGTCAGCAGAATTAAAAAGCAAGTCAGTCCAGCAGAGTCCGTTGCAGACTTTAAGCCTCCTCCAGAGTACCAGCTGACTTCTGCGGAGCTGAAGCAGATCATGGATCAAAGCACATCAGGAGGAGACCTTGCTTGCCGGTTGCTCGTGCAGCTCTTCCCAGAGCTCTTCAGCGACGATGAATCCAGCAGGAGCTGCAGCGCCTGTGGCTTTCTCAACAAAAGGAAACTGGAGTCTCTTCATCTGCAGCTTATCCGTAACTACGTGGAGGTTTGTTATCCTTCTGTGAAGAACACAGCTGTGTGGCAGGTGGAGTGTTTGCCTCAAGTCAATGATTTTTTCAATAGATTTTGGGCTCAAAGGGAAATGGAAAACAGTCAGCAGAATGTGCAATCGTCCAGTTTTTATGAGACTGAGCAAGTTGAATCCTCTCATTTTATGGAGGATAAAGAGCAGGAGGAAGCTTTGTCCTTGGACAGGAGTAATGCTATTGCCTCAGATTACATGCTGGATGCTCAGGATCTCAATGAATTTTTAGATGAAGCTACTTCTCCAGGGGAATTTTCTGTTTTTTTGTTACACAGGTTATTTCCAGAACTCTTCGACCACAGAAAATTAGCTGAAAGGTACAGCTGCTTTGGAGACTCTGGAAAACAACTGCTGGATCCTCATCGTCTTCAAATAATTCGTCGGTACACTGAAATTTACTTTCCAGATGTGCAAGAAGAGGAAGCCTGGTTGCAGCAGTGTGTTCAGCGAATGAACGATGAGCTTGAAAATACGTATATGGACGGAAGCGAATGTGATCAGATGAGAGACGACTGTTATGATTCCTCTAGTTTACCAGATGATGTATCAATCATAAAAGTGGAAGACAGTTTTGAATACGAAAAACCTGGCAGGCGCTCAAAAAAAATTTGGCTTGTGCCCATAGACTTTGATAAACTTGACTTTCCCCCTCCTGATTTTGATGTCCCTGTCCCAGACTACCTGTTGAACAAAGAACAGATTAAAAGCATATATGAAAGCAGTCTTTCCATAGGCAACTTTGCCTCTCGATTGCTTGTTCTCTTATTTCCTGAACTGTTTACTCACGAAAACCTACGGAAGCAATACAACTGTAGCGGATCTTTAGGCAAGAAACAGCTGGATCCCACTCGAATTAAATTAATACGACATTATGTGCAGATACTGTATCCCAGGGCAAAGAATGACAGAGTGTGGACTTTGGAGTTTGTTGGGAAGCTTGACGAGAGGTGTCGACGAAGAGACACGGAGCAAAGGCGCTCGTACCAGCAGCAGCGGAAGATCCACGTGCCGGGGCCGGACAGGAGGGAATTTCTCAGCTACGTAATAAACCCCGAGAGGTTTCGAGAAGAATTTGAAGGGCCGCCGCTGCCACCAGAAAGGAGCAGCAAGGATTTTTGCAAGATACCACTCGATGAACTCGTCGTTCCTAATCCTGACTTCCCTGTGCCTTCTCTGTACTTGCTGTCTGATAAGGAGGTAAGAGAGATAGTGCAGCAGAGCCTGTCGGTCGGCAACTTCGCTGCCAGGCTTCTCGTAAGACTCTTTCTTTTTTCCGGAGAACCTCAGACTGCAATACAACCATTCAGGTGCTTGTAACAAAAAACAGCTTGACCCTATCAGACTGAGACTGATCCGTCATTACGTGGAGGCAGTTTACCCTGTGGAGAAAATGGAAGAAGTATGGCATTATGAATGTATACCGAGCATTGATGAGAGATGCCGGCGTCCTAACAGAAAAAAGTGTGATATACTGAAAAAAGCAAAGAAAGCAAAAAAGTGACAGGCTCTTTAAATTCCTAAGACTTTGACCACTAAATTATTGTCAGGATTATGCTTTGGTTTAGACTGAGAAGCCTGGCGGGAGCTGAGGTTGCTCGGCACCTAGGACAGTCAGGCACTAAGTTGGTTGTGTTTTAATGTGTCTGTTGCATCTGTGTGGGCACCACAGCAGTGGGAAGTGGCTTACTACATTTGTACATGGTGGTGTGGTTTAGGCGCACCCAGCCGACAACAAAGCACCACACAGCTGCTCACTCACTTCCCCCTGGCCCCTGTGAGATGGGGAGGAGAAAATACAGCAAAAAGCTCAAGGGTCAAGACAGGGAGGGCTCACCCACCGATTACAGTCACAGGCAAAAAGCAGACTCAACCTGAGGAAACAACATCAGTTTAATTTGAATACCACTGCCAATTTACCAGTCAAATCAGAGCAGGATAATGAGAATCATAGGAGTACAAGCAAATCTTAAAAAACACCTGTCCACACCCCTCCCTTCTTTCTTGGCTCAGCTGTGCCCCTGATTTCTCTACCTTCTGTCCTGCAGCAGTGCAGAGGGATGGGGAATGGGGGTTGCAGCCAGTTTGTCACACCTTGTCTCTGCTGCTCCTTCTTCCTCAGGGGGAGGACTCATCACGCTCTTCTCCTGCTCCAACGTAGCTTACCTCTCGTGGGAGACAGCCCTCTAGGAAATTCTGCAGCTTCAGTCCTCCCTGGGGGGCTGCACCTCTTCATGGATTGCTCCACTGTGAGAACCTTCCACAGGGTGTAGTCCTCCCAGAGATGGACTGCTCCAGCCTGGGTTTCCCTCAGAGTCAAGGCCTTCTTCAGGAGCAGCCACCTGCTCTGGCCTGGGGTCCTCTGTGGGCTGCTGATGGGCATCTACTCCACCTAACCTAACCTCCATGGGCTGTTGGGGGTCTGCCTGCCATCTCGCCACGGGCTGCAGGGAGTCTCTGCTCTGGCACACTTCCCCCCCTCCTTGCTCACTGACCCTGGTGTCTGCATGGTTGTTGCTCTCATCCCACTCCTCTGCTCCCAAAACCCCCTTGTCCAACAGGTTTTTCCCCTCTTATCACAGAGGTGCTGATTGGCTCACCCTTGGCCAGAGGCAGGTCCAACCTGGAACCAGGGAACTTTCTAGAAGCTTCTGACAGGAGCCACCTCTGTAGTCCCTCCTCACTACAAAAACCCTGCCACACTAACCCAACACACGTGGGAAAAGTCATCAGTGACAGAGCTATCAGTGGCTCCCCAAGAGCATGACTTTCACTGGTGCAAATACCTGTATTGAAACTGTATTACTCCACTCCCTATTTCTGCATCTTCCTTTTTTATCACTTTCTAATAATAAAGGTGATTTTTTTTTTAATCATTGTGCTCTTCAGGGGCCATTTTTCATCATACCCTTATGAACAATCTTGTTAGTTAATTTGGAATTTGAAATATACGCTTAATTTGAATTTGAAAGTGCCATGTTCATTGGAAATCACTGGAATATTAGACTTTGCTTCTACAGTAATTGCAGCCTCACATTTGTTTTGTTCTTGTCGATACTGAGATACTGAAAATGACAATACTGCATCAAAAGAATGAGTCAGAATGGTGTCCTTTGCATTTTTGACTGTTACCCAGGTTTTATTTCTAAAACCAAGAATTAACTGTTGAAGAATTGCGATGTGAGCATAGACACAATGTGAATGGGTTTTTTTATAGTGACACCATGAGATCAGTTATGCCCCCATGAGTTCTTTCTTAGCTTTGTCCACTGTCGCTGCTGGGGTGGCTGAGGATGGCTCGTCTGAACAAAGCCAGCAGAACAGACTCAGGCCCATACCCAGGGAATGCCTTGCCATCGCCTGCTTGCCATTCTGTTTGTAAACTAACAAAGACAACAACAAAAAGGGCTGAAACAAGAATTTAGAAAAATTTTAGACCCTATCTCTATCAAAATCATGATTCCAAAGTTTTTCAGTGTTCATATTTAATTGCATCTATAGAAAGTATGTGCAAAGATTGGTTTTGTGATGAAATTCAGTGTTTCAGGGGCCCCATGTATGATCGGTGGTGATGTAACTCATTCTTTGTGTGAATGCAGCAGCATCTGAGTATTTCAGATGTGGGAATATTGAATTCCCTCACTTTGCCAAATTCATTTAGTGTAATTAGTTGCTGTTGGGAGGCATAACTGTATGTATAACTTAACGTTCATATGGTCAAGCTGACATCAGTAATAGGTTCAAGTGTAACAAAAACCACCCAGAACCCAATGTGAATTTGATGTATGACTTGTCACTGGTGAGTGCTGCTTTAAAACTAATTTTCCTCTTTTTTTTTTTTTTCTTTTAATGCTGATAGAAATGGTGAGAGAGAGTCAGACGTGGATTTTTAACTCAGTAAAGGGGGTGATCTCTTACTGACCATTGCTGGAACACCTTGATTGTTTATGTTTTCTGTGGTCCTTTTTTGTTGTTTACTTAGATAGGTCATAGTATCAAATTTTAAGTCAGTTCCAGTGTAATTTTCTATTTTAGCATTTGTAAGAAAGTACAAAATACTTGATATTTTTACTTCGGATTTTTAGAACTTATTGTCCTTAGAGCCATATTGATCCCGTTCTTTTAAATGCAAAACAAAACGTTTTTTCCTGATGGCAAGAATTAGTAAAAGTATTATGTTAAACTGGGAGTAAATCATAATAGATAGTAGCACTTGCTCATTTTCCCCATATGCTAACAACATTCTCAAAGAATGTATGAATGTACTAAATAATACACGGATACTGTTTATATCCATTTAAGTGTTTTCTGTTGGTTTAAATAATAGCAGACCATGCACAGAATGGATAGCAGAGAAAATATGGATATAATAAAATGAAAACATTTTACCAAAGATAAAGAACTGATACCACGATGTCTACATCTTATCTTTCATTTTAGTGCATAAATTTAGCAAATTGAATGTAGCAGAAACTAAGACTTTCTCTTGTAATTGTATGCTACCTAGCACCTCTGTGAAATTTTTTACATGCACTTTTATGGGTGATCTGAAATGACAGAAAATATTAACAGCTGCTTAATTTGTTGTTGTGAATGGCTGGCCAGAAGGTAAGAAATATAATTAATTTTCTTATCTTAACGTCATGCATGTTTCACCACTCAGTGATACTGAAGTTCCCAGAAGAATTTGTTGTATATTAAACTTTTCTACAATTGACAGATGTTACTAGCTAGCATGCAAATTTGAGGTATACTGGCTTTTACTGTAGATATTGACATTAAGTCAAAAAATCAGTCAATTCTTATTATCTCCTAAGTAATGAAAAAACAATTTTCACCTCTTAAAATTTCATTTTTGAAAGTGGGTATAGAAATATTTTCATTGCTTTTTTCTCTTAACTTCTGTCTAATCGCTGTGTACATTCCTTTTATCTCGCTCTTCACAACCCTTTCATGATTTGTTTGATTGTATGTTTTTTATCTGATATCAAGAAAATACAGACATATGAATAGTGACGCAGCTCACTATTGAAAGCTCTTGCAGTGCATCTGAAGTACAGCCACTTCATCGAGCCGGTCAGTCTTGTAAATAAATTAAAGGTATATTATTTTCTTACAAGAGGAATGTTGTCTGGTGATTGTTTGAGTACGAGCAGGAGTTTATTCCTATTAAGTAAGTGCGTTACTAAGATCTGAGACAACCTTAGCTAGTTGGACAACACATAAATGAAAATACCCTGGTTTGCTGCAGCCATTTTAAAAGATTTTTCCATCTCTTAAGTCTTTTTTTTAAAAAAAAAAAAAAAAATAAAAAAAATTGCCATTTTGAAAGCGAGGCTGTGCTAGGAAGATTGCTAGATACTGAAGTGTTGGGAACATAGGCAGCCATGCACACACGACTTCCTCCTATGGATGAACGTTATTTTCTACCTTACCAGGGCAGTAAACCCTGTCAAGGTGAGTATCAGTTGTCTCTACGTCCTTATAGTTTGCATGTATCCACTTTGGATAAGCATTGAACAGCTTTCTAAAAGAAACAGAGCAATACACCAGAATTCTGTATTTTGTGTCTTGTTCATTTTCCACCAATTAAAAACTTACTTAGAAGCTCTGTAAAAGATGTAAAACAGCACATCAAAAGGGAGATCAAGTATGTATCAGTTTATTGCCCATTATCTGTGTTCAGCTGACAGAATTAACAAATTTACAAATGAGAAAAATCTTTACTTGAAATCAACCACTTTGTTTTGCTGAGGCACTACAGCCACCAGTGTTTCATGTTCTAGGAAATGTTTGTGATGGGTTTTCTTCTTATCTTCAAAATGCATATAATTTATTTCTAGATACATTTATTTAAAGATGTCATTTGTTTTCAATTTCATCTGATATTTATATTGCTTTATAGCAGTGAGAAACAGAGCGGTGTGTTCAATGCTCTACAAAGGCACACCAGGTCTCATTTCATGCTGGAAGGGGTTAACATGAACTCTACAGCCCTGAGAAACACTGACAATAATATACAGGTGTTGTTAATAACTTATTCAGATTTTGGGTTGCTGATGAAAAAGATGTGAAACAGATGGAAAATTCAATGTCTTAAGCTTACCTGTACAGAGGATGAGGCTTAAATTGACAAGTGTTTTAACTCACCCTGTACATTTTAGTTGATTGCACTTAAAATCTATGGGAGAACAAGCATAGCAGGTTCAAGCCTGTAATTTTTCTGAATAAATGAAACTCCATCACTGTCATTCCCAAAATTTCTTCACTTCCTTAGTTTGACTTTCTGATTTTTTCCATTGTTACTGCAACTCACTTAGGACCAGCAGAATTACGGGGTTTTCCTTGAAGAACATTCTGAAAACATCTTTTAAAATGTGCTTGAAGTTGTTTAAAATGAATAGATGAAGTGATGGTTTAGCTTCCTCTTTTAATACTCTCGTGTGATTGTCTTTACTAAGAAAGACAAAAAGAGAAAGAAACCTGCGTTTAGTTCATCTTCATTCTTCCCTACCTTCTTTTTAATCCTAGTAAATATTGAGACAGGTAGATTTCTAGCAGTAACAGTGCTTTTTCAATCCTCATTTTACTCCCTCCATTATGGAAGTCATTCATCTAAAACTCTCAGTTTTCTCTAATTTCAGTCTTAATTTATTACAGAAATTTCTCACAGAAAGTATAATACTCGTCATTAACTTTGTCAAAACTCATGTAAACCCTGTTCTGAGACATCACCTCTCCTGCAGCTGAAGGAGCTGCCCCGCATTGGCCCGTCTCAGTGCTGGAAGCAGATGAGTCCTTAGAAAGTCAAAACTACATCATATTGACATTTTCCTTATACCTCATCTGATTGGCAGGAGATTAGTCCTTACACTGTATTATTTTTATCCAAAATATTCGTTTTCATTTTTGTCATTTTTCAGATGCTCTTTTCTGGTTAATGGCCATAAAAGGCTGTGACATGGGCAGACCACCTGCTTACTCCACTTCTTGATCTGCTCTGTGATGGGGCTGTGGTCACCACTGAGCATTTTTCTTGTGTTAACAGTTCAGAAAGAAGAATTTTGATTCTCACGGGAAGGGAAGAACTCTAACAGGAGGGAATAAAGCTGTTCTGGAGAACACAGTCTTTTCCCATTTCTCCTCCCCCCTCTCACCCCTAAGACAAACATAAATAGAACAAGCCTGTTTTGTGTTGGCTTTCTTTACTGGGTATACTTATTAAAAAAAAAAAAAAAAAAAAAATTTAGCATGACTTCCCAGTCAAAAAACAGGCAAAATCAGCACATGTTCAATCACACTAAAATTTGTGTTAATAGATGGAAAGAAATTGTGATTACTGAAGACTGGAGGAAGATCAGCTAATTAATATCTACACAGACACACACACAAATACCAAGTAATCATTCCAAATGTCCTTCAAAAATTTCATTAGGCAAAATAACTTGCTGTTTCCAGAGGCATTTTGTAGTCTTCTTTGTTAGCCCTGACTTCTCTGGGGGGCAAAATACTCCTTTAGTTGTTACACTTTCAGGAATGTATCACTTCAGGTAGCTCATGGGGTGGCATGATAGCAATGTCCTACCTAGCAAGAAAATCCCAAGGTGCCTGTCAGGAGTAGGATGGAGTCACTCAATAGGATCACATCCTACATTTGAGATTTGATCCCCTGTATAAAACCCAGAAGTTTGTTTTTGTGTTGTGTAATGCTGTCCCTTGTCTCTCTTGCTCCCTCTCTCTCCTTGTTTTTTTAGTTCTCCAGAAATAAAAAAAAAAAAACAAACGCGTTGAACGCAGAAGCACTGAAAACAGAAGGATTTTAGCTTCAGCAGTACTCAGACTTGCATGGCTCCCACACACTCCCCTTTTGCATTCCTTCCCCCACGCCTGCCGTCATAGGATGGCCACCTACCACCACAGCTGGCCTGCAAAGGCTGTCAAGCACTGTAGTCCGGCAGGTTCCTAAGGTGGGCTGTCCGGCTCTGATGTGCCATTACAGACAAATAACAACCCAAGAAACAAATGAAGATTAAACAAAAAAAAAAATCAAAAACCATTTTGGTGTTTTTCTGATCCATGGAAAAAAGAATTGTTTATTATTTTGGAGGGCCAGAGGCATCAGGGTATAACACACCCCCGCCCCCGTGTTGGTCTGCAGGCAGCAGAACTCGGAACCTATTCAGGAGTGTTGGTACGTGCCTGCTTCAGCTGACTAGGCTGACTTTTCTGCCAGACCCAAGCCCAACTCCCGTGTGAGGAACTCCTGGCTATTCCTTCACGGGATCCTCCCGCACCCTGCCGTACCACTGCAGCTGCTGCAGGGGGTAACGTTGCTCCTGCAGCGGGTGAAATGGGCAAAGCTGTCAGGTAATGCCATGTGCTGTGCCTGTGACACCCAGGCCCTGTACCCACATCCTGCCAGTGCCTGCCTCTTCCAGGGGCAGGCGCAGTCCTCTGGACCAGGGCGGCTGTGCTGGCCATTCTGGGCTCCCTGCCCGACAACCAGCGTAAGGTTGGATTCGTCTGTGCGTTATGCAGAGGTGGCTTGGACAGCACAGGCATCTGGGCAGCCTCCAGTGAACTTGCCAGTCACTTCTCAAGCCATCCAAACCGCTCGTCATGACCTCTCAGCAGTACCCCTGCAAGGAAGCTGTTTCATATAGTTTCTCCACCATGCAGACTAAGAATGGCAGATGCCCATGTCCTGAAGCAGGATGTTCACTACAGCAGTGACAGAAGGGCCGGAGCACATCACTTACTCAATTTGCTGTGCATATCCTGATCTAAGCAGGAGGAAAAGCACCACTCAGTTTTCAGTGGCTCTGGAGATTTGGTAGCTGACTAGTGGCAGATTCTCTGTTTCAAGAAGATCATTAAAACTTTTGTTTGACTACTTCTTGCTACTTTGCTATGTCATCTGACCAGACACCCAACCATATTATCACATGGACTCCATCACCTTAAATTCATGGCTGCTGAAGGGAAGATGCACAGCGGGTTCCCAGAGTTGATGTACGCTTTGCATACACAGAGTCCGTGTGAGCCCACCTTCATCTGAAAGCCCGAGGCTGTGATGTGCCTGTTCCCACACCTCCCAAGAACACAAGCTGGCTCTGCTTGCTTGGCACTTGCGTCAGTCATTAACCAAGCCTTGCCTTTCTTCAGCTCACAGGCCAAATGTTTAAGGGCTGCAGAAACAAGCACAACCTGCTCAGCAATGTCTGGCCCCAATAAAAGGGTCTGATCAATAGAGAAGCTTATCCAGGACAGATCAATGTAGCCAAGCAGAACAGCTACTCGGCTTCCTGCTGTCATAGTTTTTCTCTGAGATCACCCTCCCTTGTGATTAAAGCCTTCTTGTCTGAAGCCGACGGGCGCAGTTCTCACTCCAGCCATTCCAAGCCTGAACACAAAGAGGATGCTCTCACCCACCACAAGACTCCTTAGGAAGCCTGCCTTTCTTTTCCATTGCTGATACCTCTAGTAGATCAACACTTAACACCTATGAAAGTCTTTTTCTACCTTCATCTGTCAGTCAAGACCTGGGTTTGGTGGCCGTCAGAGTAACAGAATAGTTTGAGTTGTAAGGGACCTTTAAAGATCATTTAGTCCAACCCCACTGCCATGGATAGTGACATCTTTCCCTGTATCAGGTTAGTCAAAGCCCATCCAAACTGACCTTGGACACTTCCAATGATGGAGTGACCACAACCTCTCTAGGCAATGTGTTCCAGTGTCTCATCATCTTCATTGCAGAAAAAATGTATTAATTTTTCACTCTAAAGCTGTCCTCTTTCAGTTTAAAACCAGTGCCCTTTGTTTTGTCACTACAGGCTCTAGTAAAAGGTCTCTCTCCGCCAGCATTAGGAAGGGGATAGGTCTTGATTGCAAGCTCTTCTGTACTTTACTTCCCAATAGGCTTTTTCCAGGAAGTTAAAATCCAAGAGTTTGGCATAATATTGTGTTCATATTCTGTCCAACTCAAGAAATTACCCTGCCAGTGCTCTTTCTTATGTCAGTGGCTTTCAGGGATGCGACTTTCTTGCCCATCTTGGATGCCAGGCAAGTGTTTGCTTTTTTTGTTGCTACTGGTTTTATCCTACGCAGAACAGAACCTTTCAGAAAGTTGAATGTTTGTACCCTGGCTAGCCCCGAGTCCCAAAGCATTCCTGGGGTTTACCGGTGGGGTCCCACTCTGGCCCTGTAAGCTCTGGCATGTAAGTTAGTCCTGCCGGAGGCAAGAGACTGTGTGGCCGTACACATTGATGAGCACTGGACAGGGAACAAATGGTTGCTGACCAGCAACAGGAGCTCACTGACGTACTACTCACATCACCTCTTTCCCCCTCGTTTCTCCCGGCATCCCTGGAGATTATGGGAGCCACCTGCAATAGCAATGGTAAGTGGAGAATTGAGGAAGAGAGGATGCATCTCATCTGTCTATTTCCATAGCACTTGGAAACATACAACAAATAGAGCGGAGTCAGCAACGCCCACAGCAAAGGTCCAGCCTGCCATGTTCCTCTGGATGCTTGCTGTGCTGAGTCCCTTTGCTTCTACAGTGAGAGATCACCAAAGTCCTCTAGGAAAGCTTTCCAGGATCACGTCCTCTTAGGAACCAGCTTTTTTAAAAGGTCACTGAGGCTCTAAAACATTAACTATACGTGTGTCCGCATCTTTAAACATCCAGATAATAATTTCAGCCCAGAAATTATAGCCCAGAAATGCACAGGTTTTAGCTATGCCTGAAGAAAGCTAGACATTATTTGTATTCCACACAGCAGCCACCACTTCTGAGGCAGTGGACAGCAGCAGGTACAACCTCCTGGAACACTGTCATCCTGCAGGTGTGGGGCAGCTGAGCCCCAGTTCCCATGCACTCCTCACTGGTGAGCACCACTGCTTCCTCTCACCTCAAAGGCATTTTATGCAGTGAAAATCCAGTTGTTACTTTACCAGAGTTTTCACGCATAGCTAATGCTTAACCAGAGCACTGAGTTTGCTTTGTGAGCAAGAGTTTCTTGCCTGCCCGTTTAGATTTCAGAAACACCAAGAAAAAGTGTCCTGGAACATCCTTCTGCTGCCCACTCTGGGCTATCTTCTTCCCTCTGGGCACTCCAGACTAGGCAGGGAGCAGACCATGGACTGGATGAACAGCAGCTACCTGCTCCTACGGGTCAGCTTCCCTGTAGACACACACCTGCAAGTCACTGTGTAAACATACATAAACAGAATAAAAATTCTGTCTATGCCAGGGTTTATCCAACAAGTTGCAGGTCCACACCGGTCTGTCTCCTCTAGGGGAGCCACAGCAGCGGAGCCCTTAAGCGCAGGGAACAAAAAAAGAAGCCATTTTACATAATTGGGGTTTTATCCCTACTATCCCTAACTACTTAGTCAATCTAGAGATAAAACTGAGAAAGCAGTTCTGCTTGTTGTGATGTCAGCTTTAATGTAACCTTCCTCAGGAACAAAATTAGACGGCAATTAAGCGGCGATCAAATTAAGTCTTTATTGGTTCATATCTTTATTGGTTCATATAATATCTGTAAGGAAACTGCATGGAAATGTAAGGGTTGGATCTTTTATCTCACAGTACCATGAAACAAAACTAACAGCAAAAAGTGACAGGCTTATTGAATGAACACTGGTGTACACAGCAGAGGGAGATAACATTCTGACACAAGCCCTTAAAAAAAAGGGTACTGTAATTTTGTTTAACCAAAATTCATATTTAACAACAAATAAGCTTTTCTGCAAAAATCTTACATGGCCACATGCAACCCCCTGTTACTTAAGTACATCCTGTTTGGGCACTTTTAAGTTTTTCCAGCGCCTCAAAATTACTCTGTATTTTTCACTTTCAGTTTTGTCAGAGACTTTCCTTAAGACTACCCGCATAACTACAGCAGTTCCCATTTCCTTATCTTCACCTACAATGAGATCCAGAGTGTCACCAACTTTAACCTGGAAACAGAAAGAGAAGATGAGTGATCATAAACATTCCACAGAGAAAACAAATCCCCACAGTCTATGCCCAATTGTAGTTTTGATCCTTTTAATCTTAATTTCAGAGGACAGAAGGAAGGCAGGCAATACTAGACCCGTTACAGATCCTCCAGCTATGAGCTTCTAGGAAAGCTCTGGCAATAAGCAATTAAATGTCCATGACCTTCCCTGCCAAGAGCTTCACCCTTCCTGTTCTACAACCAACACCTAACTCCATGATAAAGCTGTGAAGTAGTATTTTGTTCTTCCTGAACGGTGTTTCCTGCCAATCTTTTTGTATCAACACAGGCACAAAACAGCAAAATGCCAAGTTCTCCCTCCTGCCTTTAAAACAGTTGAAAGCGTTTCAAGGAACAGGATACTGGTCAACTACTTGTGCTCCTTTCAAAAGTCACAAAAACAGTTTGCCTCTCAAAAACTAGCCTTAACTTTAGGGGATTAGGAATTAAAACTTCTCTTTTTACTGCCCTTTGATGACAGTAACCACCACCGAGGATCACCCTTACATCAAGGGTAGGTAGAACTATGTTTGTCACCACTCTGGTGAGCTCTGTTGTGAAAAAGCCTAAAACCCTTCTGGCTCTTCTCCTGTGTTCCTGGGTGCTCTATTACAGGTACAATCACCTTTCCTGAGCTACACCACTTTCAATCCCTTTCTATCATCAAACTTTTTCTCTGATCATGTGCCTCCTCCAGAATCTCAGATTTAATAATTCCTACACCATCACCTTCACATCTATCATCACTTCAGAAGCTTAGAAAGTTCTGTCCTTGCTGCCTTCTCCTGACTTGCAGCCTTAGATCTCACTCCCTAATAAGGCAAGTCTCCCACTTGCCTGAGGGAACAGCACCTTACCAGGCAACCAGTCACACACACACAGAGCCGGGAGCCACACGATCGACGCTACTCGTTCACCTCTGCCGAGCGATTTAGAGGGAGAGAAGGTCATGCCTGAGCTATTCTCTTGTACTGTATTAAAAGATGTAAATTTTAAAAAGTCTTACAGTTCTACTTTTCTTCCATAGCTTTTCTCCATTCAGCCTGAGTTCATTATTGTAGAATGCATCTTCTACTTTACTGAAGAAAAACAAGGTTTTATTGCATTTAGAGTGTGCAGCAGACCGAATGCAATTGTGCAGAAACACACAAACACCATTCACGTGCAAGGTACTTTTCCACAACTCTGATTTGTGCATAAAGGATACCTTTATTTAAGGTCAGGACAGACTTGAATTAGAAGGAGAGAAAAAGTCTTTCATAGATATTAAATGAAATAATAGCATAGTTGCTCTGTGCCACAGGTGCAAGCAATAAAAAGCTGTTTCTAAAGACCTGTCTTCTGAACAGCCAACAAATAATGTCCCCTTGCCTGCACCAGCCAGTTTAATAATTTTTAAGTGATCAAGGTTTACTACTATTCTGTTTGAATGACATTGCAATATAAAGCTTCTGTAGGTTGCATTAGATCAAATACTGCAGATTTACCTGGCTCACCTAGCATGTTAGATTTACACTTACCATCACCCATTTCTACAGACATTAAGTAGTGTATTATTTCACTTTCTGAATCTCAAATTAGATCTTTTAATATTACTTAGTACAGTATTTTGCATTTTCTTAATTTTAAATAAATAGTAATTGATACAAAATGTCTCCTCAGCAATCTTAGAAATACTGCAGACCGTGAAAAGCACAACACAGGCTGTTTCAAGGGAGGTAACCTCAAACAACCAAGAACACCCACACATCCAAAACATATTTTCTGTCAAAACAGCTACACCAAACAAAAAAAAACAACCAACGAAAAATCCTGAGTTTTTCTAGCAATGAAAGGGTATCAAAACTCAATTTTTAGATGCATGACATCTTTCTCATCAGAAGGCTATTTCTTCCATACTTACTTTCTTGCAGTGTCTAGACCAGCTTTCATGATCACATCGTATCGAAGAGATGGCACTACTTTTTCAAGATCCTTGTAATCTTTTATGACATTGGGGTCATTTTCGAATTCATCTTCCAAATTGTCTTCCTCCTCTTCTTCATCCTCTTCTTCCTCCTCTTGTACAGTTTGTCTGTTCCTTTTAGAGCTTTTGCTACTTTTGCGCCGCAGAGTAAGTACCGAGATATATGCTGGAAAAAGTCTTAGTGCACAGAGTTTTACTGGGGAAAAGCTGAAATATCTTCTGTAGTTTACTGCGCTTGCTTGACAGCTACAGAATATGCTTCTCCTCCAAGAGGGATATAGTTTATTACAGGGGAATTTCTCCCACAGTCCAAACCAGACATTTAGTTTTCTAAAAGTAGTGATGGGGAGTCTGAAGGCAGTCATAGCACACCCTAAAATAGAGCAAACATTCATATGTAAAAATGAGCTTTGACTATTGGGAAGGAATTCTCCAGGTACCACATAATAGTTAGTACAAAAAGATTACTATCTAGTTCCCCACAAAGCAATGCTTGAACTAAAAGCACAAGGCTATATTGGCTTTATGATCTGCCTTTCTTATATGCTGTCCACCACGACAAAGAGCTACAACACCAGATGAAAAACAAAGACGAAGGCCGCCAATGGAATACCTGGTTCATAAATCCTTTCCTGGTGTTTAATATTAACTGTCCAAACATATCTGTGGCATTTTCCTCTCTACATCTGAAACGCAATTCACTAAAGAAACAAACGAAAATAATCATGTCATAAAAAGCACAGGAGACCTACTTTTATCATTACTCATTCTCAATAAAAGCAATTTGCTCAACAGTGAAAGTAAACCCAAAGAGTCCAAAGTTCCTTAGCTTCAGTTTCTGTTTGGATCACAACAGTCCCACATGGCACAACGCTGCTCAATGTTTCCCCGTTTCTCCAAACAATAACCGGCATCATGGAGGGGCTCAGAAGTAACACTGCTCTCTGTACTGCAACGGGAAAGGTGCCAGCAACCAGAATCTCATGTGCAAGCTCCCCAATACCAATCCTTTCTGCAGCCATCTCTAACATGGGACAAGTAGCTGGAAACACCCTCAAGACCCCACATATCTTTCAACCTACTTATGAAATGATTTACAGCCCTTCCTAGCTAGGTGGAGCACTCGCTTCTATTATGGCCTTGTATGTGCAGAAACACGTGTTTCTTCAGGAGACTGGAATTTGTTTTCCCCATAGGTGAGTGAACTCTGCCGAAATCTTAATAAGGCGGTTTTTGTGGTTGGGAAGAAGTTCTGGCCAGTGAGAGAGCAATTACTGGCCAAATAAAATAACCACACTTCCTCTGGCTTTTTTGTATTTAAACATGTCAACTTAAAATATACGACATACCGTTTGAAATTTAGGACCGTGCAATCCTCACAGAAGACTTACACCTCACTTTGTGGACAAATTCCTAGAACAGTGATTTGGACGTGCAAAGAATTATTATTGCTTATTTATACTGCTCGGCCTTGCTCTGCGCCCAGTCAGGCAGCAGGCACCAGGGGCCGCCGAAACAGTCCACATCACATCACGAAGGGTTCTCTTCCGCCACGACGCCTCCCCGCGGATTGAGACACCCCCTCCCCTCCAC